TTTTTTTTTTTTTTTTCTTCCCTCGGTCCACAACGTTACACCAGCTATTTGTTTGCATCAGAAGGCTTCAGCATTGTAACACCGTTTGCAACGAGTCCGATTTATGCTGGCGTTAAAGTCCCCTTTTTCCTGCCGCGGAAAACTTTCGCTATGAAAGTTCAGGCGCGGCTTTTCACCACAGGAAGAATTATAGTTTCCAGCTTTTGTAAAAGTCTCGCCTCTGTTTCTCGACGTTTTCATTAACTCCAGCGTCTCAGGGCAACCCCCTTCGATACGTTCCGTGCCTGAAAAATTAGAAAAATTTCCATTAATTTAATTCTTTAGAACGAATTTCTTTAATTGTAGTAATTGATTAAATTACATAATGAATGTGTAAATATTATAAAAATTATTTATTACACCTATTTATATTTATGTATTTATTTTATCATATATATATAATTTAAATTATATATAAAATATATAAATATGTTATAAATAATAATAAATTATAATTATTTAAATTAAGAAAGAAATAAATAAGTATGCAAATGTCATAAAAATTACTTATTGTAATATATATTTAGATATATATTAATACAAATTGAAAATCTATTAATTAAAGTTTAATTCTTCAGTTGATTAAATTCCTTAATATTATAGTATATTTTATATTTTGTAAAAAAAAAAAAAATAACACACAAGCTGAGTTTACAAAGGGAGGGAAATAAAAATTATTTGTCCACTGTTGTTGATTTCCCTCTTTGCTGATAGAAATCAGATCAATAGTTATAAAACGATCCCGATCCGAGGATAAACTCTCCGGGCAGAAAGCGGAAATCGATGTGGAGACAATTGTAGCGAAATGATCGCGGCATGATCATCCTTCCCGGATCCAAGATCCACCACCGTAGATTTCACGTTCGTAAATACCACGAATAAGGTGGATCAATTAGACGAATGACTTTGACACGATTCTCCGCTCACAAACCACGTTGATTCGCGCAATTGACTCGATCGCACGTTTCCTCGTCGGATCATCAATTTTGAATTTC